TCAGAATGCCACATGTGTTAAACACAGCAGTTAAAATGCAGAGCCCAATAAAATATTTTCAAGCAGAAATTAGAAGGCTAGGTTTTAACAGAATGAAAGCATTCATGTTTTTCCAAAGTTGCAATAAAACTAAATAAACATAAAAGGTGGACAAAATAAGACAGAAAATCTACTTCTGCAAAAGGAATGTTAGTATACTTAGTCACTGGCACTGTTAAAAATTATTTTTCATTATGTTATACCTGTGTCAGTAGACTATAACAACTAGGTATGTAAAATTTCACCATACTTTCTTTCAAATTATTGAAAGTATGTACTTCACTACTTCACCTGATGCAGTAAATATAGCGTGCACAAAAGTAAAGTTGACAACTTTAGATACAATAGTGAAACATTTCAAATATTCAAAAGGGCAAGGGCCGTGTTACCTCCATACCCTAAATAGGACCCAACATAAAATAACCTTTCAGGAAATACTTGTGGGATAATCCAACACTCTTCATGTCTTGTTACAACAAAACAAAATTTTTTCACATCTGTGTCATCTTAAACGAAAAACAATTACTTTTTTATTTTTTTAAGAGGCAAGGTCACACTGTTGCCCAGGCTGGAAGGCAATGGCTATTCACAGGAGCAAGCCCACTACTGATCAGCACAGGAGTTTTAACCCGCTCCTTTTCTGACCTGGGCCAGTTCACCCCTCCTTAGGCAACCCAGTGGTCTCCCATTCCTGTGGGGTCACCATATTGATACTGAACTTAATGTGAATACCCAATCGGCATGGCACACTTCAGTCCAGAAATTCTAGACTCAAGCAATCCTCCCGCCTCAGGCTCCTGAGTAGTTGGGACTACAGGTATGCGCCACCATGCCAAATAATCACATTCTTAATGATGAAAATTAAGTATTACATGAAAGGTTAGGAATACTAGTTTTTTCTATTATTCTCTCTTTATAGCAGTAAAATGCAGATAGGAAGAAAAATAAATTTTAAAATTATTTTTTGAGAAATTCCAGGTTTGAAAAACACTGACAGTTTCCTAACTTCAAATCTCCCTCTCCCTTTATCAAAAAACTATAAAACCAATAAAGAGAATAAATAAAACACAACATAGAACCCATCTCTTTGCATTTCTAGGAGACAGAGAATTATACTGGCATCAGATTTTTCAAACATAATATACAAAGGAAGCCAACAGCAGAGCAACATATTCAAGAAACTTAAGGAAAAAAAGTGCAAACAAAAATGATTATACCATGCCAAGCTATCCTTCAAGTTTTTTTTTTTTTTTTTTTTTTTAGTTTTAAAAGCGCAATTTATTGAACAATTACTATGTGCCAGGTACCATGAGAGTTGCTTTTGTTTTTCTTTTTTTTTTTTTTTTAATTTATTATTATTATACTTTAAGTTGTAGGGTACATGTGCATTCTTAGCAAACTATCACAAGAACTGAAAACCAAACACCGCATGTTCTCACTCATAGGTGGGAACTGAACAATGAGATCACTTGGACTCAGGAAGGGGAACATCACACACAGGGGCCTATCATGGGGAGGGGGGAGGGGGGAGGGATTGCATTGGGAGTTATACCTGATGTAAATGACGAGTTGATGGGTGCAGCACACCAACATGGCACAAGTATACATATGTAACAAACCTGCACGTTATGCACATGTATCCTTCAAGTTTTAAGGCCATAGAAAACAATTCTGAATGTGTAAGAACTCAGAGAATATTGTACACATATACCCTTCTTCAGATCCTTCACTAGAGCAGAAGTTAGCAAACTATGACCTATGGGCCAAATTCAGCCTGCCATCTGTTTTTTGTGAATAAAATTTTATTGAAACACAACCATGCTCATTCATTATGTATTGTCTATGACTGCTTTTGTGTTACACAGCAGTTGTGTAGTTGCAACAAAAGCCATCTGGTTCACAAAACCTTAAGTATTTGTTCACTGGACCTTTACAGAAAAAGTTTACCAACTGTATACTAGTCTACAGAATAAGTTTCATTCACTCTAAAGACTTTGGAAAGCTCTGGCAAAAGGACCAAGGGCAAGCATTAATATAATTCTAGGGCCGAGATTAAAACAAGAGTGGGGTCAGTTTCCTTTAAGAAAGCGCGGGTTGCAAGGCAATCCTCATACCAAAGCAGACTTCAGAATAAAAAGCATTAAACAAGGTAATAAAGAAAACTTTATATAATGTTAAAAGCCACACTCCAGCTCTGGAATAGAACAAGGAGCGTGAGATCGTGTACTTTAAAGATGTTGTTAGGAGTGATATCACTGAAAATTGTGGAGTAGGGAACTCTAAATATCATCCCTCCACAAAGGTAAGGTAGCAAAAACCATCAGAATTAACTTTTTCACAACTATGGAATCTAATAAAAATTTTATAACAACGAAAGAAACACTTACAGAAAGAAGCTGCAGAATTTCTATAAGAGAGCACTTTTAACTTACACCAGTCTCCAGCTCAGCGGTGGCCTCTGAAGATGACAGCCCACTTTCCTAGGGCAGGTTGCTCTTATCAGAAGGAGCAATATGGACCTTATTCTCAAATAACTACGGTTGTGTGTTTTGATGTCTGGTGGGTCCCTGAGGAACTGACTCAAGGGCTTGCCTTTATTTCACATGCCTTGGAGCTTACTCAGGACAGAAGAAGCCTCCCAGGTGGCCTTTGTCAAAAGTACTTAAAGGCAAACATATTAGCACCAGCCATGAGGGGTAAGGGATAACATGGGGGCAACTAACACACAGACCAAAAATCCTGTGAAAAATAAGCGTGGAAATGAGATATTTGAGGGAAAAGGGGCTTTGTAAAATTCCTGGGCATGCTGAGGGCTAGGGTGCATGCTCTGAAAAGATCTGAGGGAACCTTAAGCTTTCACCTCTAAAAGAACTTTGGGCTCCATGCAAACAGGAAGAAAAGGCTAAGGCAGAGCTGTTAGTGGCCTCACTAAGTGTTGAAGGAGTGCCCCAACAAAGAATCAATCTGCAAAGTCTGGGAGAGTTTGGGGTTTTTTCTTTTAGGGTTTATTTTGTTTTTGTTTTTGGCTCCAGGCATTCAGGGGCATCTCTGTTAAATAACTAGATGGTTACTAAGCTAACAAGGGAGACCTCAGTGGACACACATAACAAAGAATAAAAATTTACAAAACTAGTTTAGAAAAGTCACTAGAACAAACCACCCCACAAAGCAAGTAGCAACAACAAACACGAGGGAGGGGACAGAATCTGATTTCCAGAGTTACCAAGTTATAATATACAACATATACAGACTTTACCAAAAAAAAAAAAAAAAAAAAAAACAAAGAAACTGTTCATGAGGAAGCTTAGACATTGGCCTTACAAAACAAAGATTTTAAATTAACTCTCTTAAATATGCTGAATTCAAGAAAATCATGAACAGAGACCTAAAGAAAGCCAGGAGAATGATCTTTCAACCATATAGAAAAATAAGAGTTAGAAATTATAAAAAAGAACCAAATAGAAATTACGGAGCTGAAAAGTACAATGACTGACATAAAAAATGTACTAGGGGTTCAACAGCAAATTTGAATAAAAAGAACAAATCAACAAGCCTGAAGACAGGTCAAACGGGAATATACAGTCAGAGAAAAAAGAAAAAACTAAAGAAAGGAAAGGAACAGAGGCCGAGACCTGTGAGACACCATCAATCATACTCTCTACGTATAATGGGAGACCCAAGAGAGGAAAGAAAGGCACAGAAAGGATATTTTCTTTAAATTATTATGAAGAATTTCTCAAGTTTGATGAAAAACATTAATCTACACGTCTAAGAATCACAATAAACTCCAAGTAGGATAAACTCAGAAAGACCCACAACAAGACACATTATAATCAAACTGTCAAAAGATAAAGACACAGAATCCTGAATGCAGCAAGAGAGAAGAGACTTGTCACAAATAAGGCATCGTAAGATTAACACCTGATTCCTCATAAAAAACCATGGAGGCCATACCATAAGAGTGGATGGTATATTTAGTATTAAAAGGGAAAAATTTAAAACCATCAACCAAGAATTCTATATTTTAAAAAACTCTCTGTAAAAAAATGAAGGAAATGTTTAATGGACATAGAGTTTCAGTTTTGCAAGATAAAAAATTTCTGGAGATTGGTGGCACAACAATATAACTATGCTTCCCATTACAGAACTGTATGCTTAAAAAGGGTTATGATGGCACATTTTACGTTAAATGTATTTTACCACAATTAAACATAAATTTTTTTAAAAAAAGGAGAAATTAAGATTTTCCAGAAAAAACAAAAACTAGGAAGTTTGTCACTAGTAGACCTGCCTTACATGAAATAGTACAGGAAGTGCTTCAGACTGGAATGAAAGGGTACTAGATAGTAACTTGAAGCCATAAAAAGAAATAAGGAGCACTGATAAAGGTTGCTACATATGTAAATATAAATTCCAGTATTACTGTATTTTTGGTTATCTCCTCTCTTTTTTCCCTATGTAATTTAAAAGCTACATTCCACAACATAGATATAGCCTATGACTACATTTACGAAAAAAAAATTTAGTAAACTGAAAAATGAAACTAAAAGACTGAAGTACAATGACTATGATTTATATAACTAAATGAGACCTCTCACACTTTATTCTAAATCAGGTATCTCAGATTTGTATTTCACATGGAAGAGATCCAGAATTGAACTCAAATATAAGGATACTAGGAAGCAGAGTCTAACAAAAAGATCACCAGCCAAAAAGTCAAGATACCTAAAATGTTATATTGTCAGCTCTCCTATAATTCTCAATGTCACTTATTAACTAACTGCTCTGGGTTGTTCGTTCCCAATTTGTGAAGTGGCGAGGATATGACAATATTATAAGAATTTATATAAAGAAAAAAGAAAACAGTTGACATAAAATTCTTTAAATTCTTAGTAAAGTAGCAGGCAAATCTAAAATATTATCATTATTACTGTATCAGCATGCACATGCAGTTTATTTACCTGATGATGGTGAATGCTTCTTATGTTGCACGAAAAATGCTGGTAGAGCAGAAACTTATCAACATCTTTCTCATTTACCTTTTTTGAGGACACTTTTGCCAGAGATGACTGGATACAAACGTGTCTGTTCTGGCACCTGTTCAGATACCCAAGTGTTCAAAAAACAAGCAGTTATTAATTTGTGCTTTAGTAAAGTATAGAAATAAGGATAGCAAAAAAGTCCAAGTGAGTTTTTTTAATGATGCCCAGCTATGAAATCAATATTACTGCCCCACCAAAAGAGGACTCTTTGCCTATTGATACTAGCATAGTCCTCCAGATCTATTTATATATCTACTCAATCTCCCCATAAAATGCCTAAATGAATTCAGAAACCATCTGCAATTATGTAAAAGATCAAAACTCTCTATAGAAATCAAACCAACAGCTCTGATCTAAATATCAGACTTTTCTAATCACCAAGTTAGGCAGTCACAGTCAATTAAAAACTAAAAAAAAAGAGAAACAAAAGGACGTGTCAAGACAGCTTCCAATAACAATTTATAATACTGAACCAAATTTAAGCAGCATAATTACTTATAAAAACACATTTTAAAACCTGAGCAAGAATTTTGCTTCAACTCATTCCTGCTGGGGCCACTGAGAAAATAGAAAAGTTATCTGTCTTGTACTAACAAAAAACCCTGACAAGCAACAGTAGTCAACTAGGTCATCTCCTTTCCTCTTCTCGGCACAGCTCAAACAGCTAAATATGTGGAGGGAGAGAGAGGGAGAACAGACCTCTGGCAGAAACGTGTCTTCTCTTCTGATACACAGCAGAAAAAGAACAAAATATATAAAAATAGGGTTTTAAATTAATGTGTTTTTGTAATGAGGCATAAAACCCATAAGCCCAAGAAGGCTCTAGGTCAAAGATCTTTAATGTCTGATAAACTGGGACTGTGATCCCATAGATAAGCTGCTCCCCCAACAGCTAAAAATCATCTGGAGGTCAGCCCTTTTACCCTCATCTGATATTACACATTCTCAAATTAAGCCAATCACTGGTAAACACCAGAAACGAGATACTATAAAATTAAGCATACATCACAATCAACATGTTTAAAAAGCAATGCCACTCTAAAGGACATGAATCTCTCTTCATATATATTGTGTAAGGCAATGGTTTTTAAACTCATCAGGCCCCTCCACTGAGACGCCTCAGTGTAAAGAGGGTGAGTAGGCAGAGTTCCAGGCTCCCTGCCCAGAATTCAATTAAAACAACTTTACTTTTATCTGTTTTATATATTTCGGTTATGCTATTTGAACAAAGAGTTCTGCTCCTTAAAAAAAAAAAAGGTCTGAAAACAAAGTTTTTAATGAACATTGGTATTAGCACTAACCGTGTGACCCTTAACAGCACGAGTCCATAAAGCAGAAAACTCCATAAAAGAGTTACTCACAAGTTCCGAATGAAGTCAAGCGTGTCTTTGTCTTTAGCAATCATGTCTGCTAAAATATGCTGCACTCCTATTTCAATATCCTGAAGCGTTGAAAGCCCTTTAGGAGAAGGGTAAAAAGGAAAACAAAAACAAAAAGTATAAGATTGGTTTTAAATTCTATAATTAAATCACAGTAAATTAATTCCAGTCAAAATAAAACCTTAAGTTGACAGCCTTAAGACAGAAAGATATTGTAGCGGTATACTAGCTTCCCTTTGTAACAAAAACAAGTCTCCAAAAGCAATAATACAGACATAATACATAATATATTGCCCAGTGGTAAAAATGCATCTCTGGAGCCAGCTGCCTTGTCTAATCCTGGTTCTACCATTTGCCAGTTGTGAGACACTGGGCAAGCTACTTGACTTCTCTGTACCTAAGTTTCCTATAAAAATGGAATCATTATGTACCTTCTTTATGAAGTGATTACAAATATTAAAGACGTTATAGGAAATATATATTAATAGAGTCAAAACCAAAGGGACAGTACTCCATTTGTTTAAAAAAATTATCCTTTAGAAGCAATTTCTATTTTGGATTATGGGGCATTTATTCACATTTTCAACGACCCATTTGAATTTCACAAATCTCAAAAGCACAAAACAAGAGCTTTCATGCAGTTGTTCCTCTTCACAGTTAAATTGTGTACAGATGGGCATTAAGTTCTCTTTAAGCATTTCTTATTTGCTAATTTATAGCAATGAATCTTGTAGATCAAGGTTTCTCTGATATTGACTTATGGAGAGAGATCATTTGCACTGCTTTGTTTCATTTCTTTTGTCTTTATCATTCTATTTGCATGAAAGTTTTTTGCATTAAACTTGAATTACACAAGCACTGCCTATTATATGTATGTTTTCCTGTAAGTAAAGTTTTAATGAGTAATAAGGTACAAAAGCCAAAGAGAGGACAGGAGGACATTTATTATGGCATAATTAATAAATAGAAAAGATCAGTTTGGTTGTGTTAGGATAAGTAATTATGTTTACAGTTGACCTTTAAACAACATGGGTACAGGACCCTTTTTTTTTTTTTGAGATGGAGTCTCACTGTCTTCCAGGCTGAAATGCAGTGGTGCAATCTTGGCTCACTGCAACCTCTGCCTCCTGGGTTCAAGCGATTCTCCTGCCTCAGCCTCCCAAGTAACAGGGATTATAGGTGCGCACCCGGCTAATTTTTGTATTTTTAGTAGAGATGGAGTTTCACTGTGTTGGCCAGGCTGGTCTCGAACTCGCGACCTCAAGAGATCTGCCCACCTCGGCCTCCCAAAGTGTTGGAATTACAAGCTTGAGCCACTGCACCCGGTCTGCACAGGTCCACTTCTACATGGATTAATCACAATAAAAGTTGGAACAAGGGTGCCTGCCTCTCATCACCCCTTCCACCTCCTCTACCTCTTCTGCTTTTGCTACTCCTGAGAAAGAACTCCTCCTCCTCCTCCTCCTCCTTCTCGTCAGCCTATTCAGTGTGATGATGAGGATGAAGACCTTTATGATAATTCACTTCCACTTAATAAACAGTAAACATATTTTTTCTTCCTTAAAATTTTCTTATTCACATTTTCTTTTTTCTAGTTTACCTTATTGTAAGAATATAGTTTATAACACATATAACACACAAAATGTGTCATCTTTATGTCATCAGTAAGGCTTCAGGTCAACAGTGGGCTATTAATAGTTAAGTTTTTAGGAAGTCAAAAGTTATACCTAAATTTTCAACTTTGAAGAGGGAGTTGGGGCTGGGGGTTGTTCTCCTAATCTCTGTATTAGGCAAGGGTCAACTACATTTTAAAGAAATTTAAAAAAAGAAATTTAGCTAATGAAACTAATAGGAATTCTATTTACATTTTAAGAAAACTTTCCTATGAGGGAATTTTCATTAACAAATTACCTTTACGAGATGGAAGACTATATATCTAATGGACTTAAAACAGCTATAGCACGTAGAGCACTCAATAAACATTTGTTCTTGTGTTGGCTCTCTCAGTCATCACCTAGGAAAACCATTCACAAGAACTAATTCCTGGAGTTCCAAGTATCTCAGAGCATCATTACATGAAGTTTAATGACAACACCAGGGTGATAAGTCAGTAGTAAAGATGGAATCTACAGGGAGAACCATTAATGGAATCAGAGAACAGAAGAAATTATAGACCTTGCAATAAGAAAGGGCCTTTGAAAATCCCCCATCATAAGAGGGGAATATAATTTGAAACCTTATGTAATTAATGAATCTAATTAAAATTGTGCTAGAGCTCTAGAGAAATGTTGTAAAGTGTAGTCTAAGGACCCAAAAATAAAATCATACCAGGTACTTGTTACAACTATGAATTCCTAGACTGTGGAACTGAAGTGTTTTTATGGAGTGTCCCAGATAATTCTGATACCCATTCAACTTTAAAAAACTGCCGCTAGGGAAATGCCTTGAGCTACTTCTACAGCAGTGGTTCTCAATGGGAGACAGAAACTACCAGAGTCATTTGGGACACTCTTTCAAATTACATTCCCCTTCTCAGTCCAACCAGGGAGAAAAATAATCTTAAAAGAAAGTCTTCTGTGTTTTGAAAAAGCTCCTTTCCCAATCAAAGAGAATAGACCTTGTGGGTTTAAAAGTCAAAGATAACAGATGTTCCAAAAGTTTAGCACCTCAGTTAAATAAGGAGGAAATATGGTCCACAGAACCAGAAAATCATACCCTTTGCCTTAAAATGAAATCTTTCCAGCTAGAGAATCGTCAAACCTCCACACCTGTAAACAAAAACCGAAAGGCCAACATTTCTTTTCCCTTTCTCTGCACTTAAGCTACCTCTTCTTATATATGACAGAACAATCAGTTACTTCCTCTTGGACACGAAAGTAGTATTTTGGATATCCCAGGACATAGTCCATTTGTGGCACAGTATAGCTTTATGATTCAGACCAAATGCTTACTGGTCTGTGGCAAGCAAGCAAGAAGTGTCTTCTATTGGGGAAAAAAAAAACACGGAACTATCTGGTTTCTTAAATATTTCTTTCAAGAATGATAGGATTATGAAACTTTTTTAGAAAAACAAAATTAAGGGTGATCATGATTGTGTGTAACATAAAGAAGGAGGAGACAAAGAGAAGGAGAAAACATTTCTATCAAACTTAAAAAAAAAAGCAGTACCTAGCTTATATAGACTTACTTATAATAATTCTACATTTTTGATCGGGGTAAAGGAAAGAGGGAGTAAAGCAAACAGAAGTCCTGATATGTCTGCTAGTACAGTACTACTGTAACTGTGCTAGACCCTGAACTATCCACCTTATAAGAAGTATCACCAAATGTCCGTTGTCATATATTCCAGCAGCCTCACCATGTATGACAATCCAAAGAGATACGGTTATCAAAAACCTACCCAGTAGGAACTCAGTGTGTGAGAGAACTCAAGAGACTTGGTACCAAAGGTAGTGAGAAGTAGAAGGAAAGAAAATCAACCACAAGGAGAAAAATAAAAATAAAAACAGTCGATAAGCCTTTGTGCATCTAACATTCTGAAAGTTTCAACATTCCATTTTAATAAAACATACGATGACTGGGCACAGATAGTTTCCTACTGTGGTTAACTTAATGCTTAGCTATAGTCTTAGCTATTATTAAAATATTAAGTGTTGCAACCATTTGGAAATCTAACTATAAATACACATTAAAAATTAAACAAATTTGAATTTTATTCATTTCAACCCACCTCTAAATTCACAATATCCTATTTTACTTTTTCACTATTGCCCTTCTCCAAACATTAAGATAAGTGTGTTTGGGTATGAACAGATATCTAGATTTTACAGACACACCTACTTGGTTTTTTAAATCACAAATTCACATTTGCTGGGTTATTTAAAATAAAAACAGGCTATGGTATGCTGTAATTTTCTACAGGTTAGTACATACTGTGGATTTTGTTATCAGAGACTGCCCCCTACAGACATTTACATGTCCCAGTCTATGGGATCCACAGAAGGACAAAAGAAACTGGAGGTGGGGGTGGGGTGGAAAGACGTAGGTCAAAGGGTACAAAGTTGTAGCTACACAGGCTGAAAAAGACTACAGTTCTAACATACAGCACGGGGGCTATGGTTAATAATATCGTAATGTGTACTGTAAATTTGCTAAGACAGATTTTAAGTGCTCTTAACACAAAATAAGGTAACTATGTGAGATGAATACGTTAATTTGCTTATCATGTATAGAATACTTTAACTATAGTACTCACTTCACTAGGTATTAATACATGTATATCAAAACATCATGTTGCACATGTTAATTATATAATTTCGTAATATTAAAAAAATAATTTTTTCAAAGTAGACACCACCAGAACATCAATCTCCCCACTCAATCTTAACAGCAAATTCCTGAGAAAAAGGCACTCTTAACCGAAGTTTTTACTCTAAGCCTCATTTTTACAATAAAAAAAATGCACCTTGACATTTATCAACTGTCATTTTCCTTGAGTTTTTCTTAGAAATATCTCTCCTTTACTTCTTCCCTCTCTTATTCTCTGTTGTGCATGCACACACACAAAATAGGAAGATACACTTGGAGGGAAATTTCAGAAAAAGACACTTTACTCCTAGAGTAGAAGTGTGAGAACGGAGCTTCGCTTTACACTTCCTGGATGTCAAAACTGTTGACATTTTTAAAGAATATTTATGACTTTTACAAGTAAACAAATTTTTAGAAATAAAAGCTTTACTAGACAATATAGGAGAATCTTTATAAATTTGGGATATGAAGGAATTTCTTTAAAAAGAAAACACAGCTATTAGCTTAAAAGATGGTTAGCTATAATAAAACTCCACTAATACCTATTTATCAAGAGATGCCATAAAGAAAGTGAAAAGACAAGTTACAAACTAGGAAAAAAAGATTTGCAACACATATCAATGACAAAAAATATTTTAAAATAATCATTTTAAAAAGAAAAACAATACAATAGAAAAACGGGCAAGACTAGAATAGGCACTTCATCAACAGAGAAAAGTTGAATGGCTACTCAATAGGTATGTCAGGATTTGTTTTATTTCAATTATTCTACATACGCTGTAATATTCTTTTGTATAATCATTACTTAACAGAACATTTTTTTAACACACGTTTTTAAATTAAAAAAAAAAAAAAAGAAACAAAGTTGATCTCTGTAAATAAAGCCAGTACCTTTAACGTCAGGCCTAATATATGATAGCAGACTGAGCTCCCCTGGTTTCTCAAGCAGTGCCCTGGCTGCTCCTTCTAAGCCCAGCTGTCTTGCTCTCTGGGCTTTAGTCCCTTTGCTCCCAGTTTTATATGGAGCAGACTAGAAAATAAAGGCAGAAAGCATATGATTCAGTTTTAAAAAAACAAAAGTTAAAACTAGGATACAAAATTAGAGGACATACTGAGAATGCTAAAGAAACCCTTTCCTCAATCCTTTCTTCTTCCTTCAGAGATGAATTAAAACTAATTTGAAAACGCTTACTGTAAGAAGATGGTATGTGCCTTCTCTTATTCTTCATATTTTTCTATATGCTAAATTAGTTGCTTGGTTTCACTCATCTTAAAAACTCATTGCTTGGACTGCAAAGTCCTCAACTCCAGCAAGTTCCTTTAAAAGTGTGCTACATACAATTCTTCTACTTCTTTGTTTTGTTTTTTTTTTTGAGACAGAGTCTTACTCTGTCCCCAGCCTGGAGTGTGGTGGCGTGATCTCAGCTCACCGCAACCTCCGACTCCCAGGTTCAAGCAATTCTCTGCCTCAGCCTCCCTGTTTCTGGGGTTACAGGCCCTCCCCCCCCTCCCCCCACAAATTTTTTTTTTTTTTGAGACAGAGTCTTGCCCTGTAGCCCAGGCTGGAGTGTGGTGGCGTGATCTCAGCTCACCGCAACCTCCGACTCCCAGGTTCAAGCAATTCTCTGCCTCAGCCTCCTGAGTAACTGGGATTACAGGCGCCCGCCACCATGCCCAGCTAATTTTTGTATTTTTAGTAGCGACGGGGTTTCACCATCTTGGCCAGGCTGGTCTTGAACTCCTGACATCGTGATCAGCCCACCTCGGCCTCCCAGAGTACTGGGATTACAGGAATGAGCCACGAGCCACTGCATCCAGCCAATTCTTCTACTTCTTAATCCACTCACTCTAACACCCACCACCATCTGGCTTCTCTTCTCACACACCTTGCTGGAAATGGTATCACAAAAATTCATGATGATCTCCTAATTACCAAATACATATATTTTTTTCAGTCCTTATTTTGCCAAACTTCTCTGCTACACATAACCACTGATCATAACCTCCATCTAAAACTCTCTTCCCTGCTGTTCCAGGGCACCATCATCTCCTGATTCTCCTCATACTTCTCTATTTTTTTCCTACCTCTTTATGCTCTCCCATCCTCCATCCACACTTCAAAACGTGGTATCCTCCAGTAGTCAATCCTGACCTGCTGACAAACCCTTCTTGAGTGAGTTCTTCCATTCTCATGGTTTCATGTAACAACTACAGGCTGAAGACATCCACATCTGGATCTCTAGTTCAGCCCTCTCTGATAAGCTTCACATTTGTATAATCTACTGTCCTTCCCTACTTGACTGGAAATTCCTTGAGAGAAAGACTATGTATTTATTCATCTTTGTAAACCCAAGTAACTAGCATACAAAAAAACACTCTATAAATATTTATTGAATAAAGAATATTTTGTTGCATTAAATAATGGTGGCTAATGACGTTAGCTTTTTATTTCTTGGTGTTCTTTAATCATAAGAAGACCCAAATTACAATATATTCAGGTATTATGTTAAAAGATAAAAAGGGTTCCTTACCACGTGTTCTAGTTCTTCAAAAGTTTTACAATTCAGCATGGCTTTTAACAAGCACTCAGACATCTTCCCCTCCTTCTTAATTTTCTGGATTGTACTATGAACTTTCTTTGCAACAGCCCTGAAAATAGAAACTTTTGTAATCTACAAAAACTGTATGTCAAAACTTTCTTTTCAAAGCTACCTCAAACTTACAGAAAAGTTGCAGGTAAAGTAAAAGGAACTTTATTCTCTCTGAACTGTTTGAGGATAAGTTAACATCCCTCCACTCCAACACTTTAGTGTGATTTCCTACAAATACAAATCTTCTCCTACATAACCACAAAATAACCATCATTATCAGGTAATTAACACTGATATATTACTACCATCTAATCTGCAGACCTCATTCAGGTTTTACCAACTGTACCAATAATATCCTTTATAGTGGATTCAGTTAAGAATTATGGGTTACATGTAGTTGGCGTGCATCTACAGTCTCCTTCAAGCTAAAACAGTATTTCAGTCTCTCCTTGATAAGGCCTTGATGTTTTGAATGCTACTGGACAGTTATTTTGTAGAATGTCCTGCAGCTTGGGTTTCTCTGATGTTTCCTCACAATTATATACAGATGGAGCATCTTTGGCAGAAATATCATAGAAGTCATACTGTGTTCTTCTTATTACACGTTATTAGCTGGTACATGATTTTGATTTGTCCCATTACTGATTACCTTGATCATTTGATTAAGGTTGCATCTGTGGGTTTCTCCACGATACAGGTACTCTTCATTCCTCTTGTAATTATAAGTATTTTGTGGAGAGGTACTTTGAGACTATATAATTACCCCATTCCTCATTAAACTTTGAATTTATTCACTGATTTATTTACATCACTATAAATTTAATGGTTTCTTATTTTACTTAGTGCTTACAATCCATTGCTATCATTTATCTAAATATTCAAATTGTTCCAGATTTGACCAAAAGTAACCCCTTCAAGCTAGCTTCTGTGTCCTTCTGACATGTCCCTGTCATCCTGTGAGCACTTCCTTATTCTCTGGCATATGATATTTCAGGCTTATCTTCTAGTTTCCCTGCCCCAGCCCTGGAATCAGGAGAACGATACTTGAAAACCAAGGTATAGGTATTAGGTAAGCTCATTGCAACCGGAGTATCACTGCTCAGGATGGGCACACCCAGCACTCACAATTGGTTTCCCAATCCATTCCCCACTAAGAAGAACCAGGATTCCATGTAGAAAAGCTGATTCCAAGAATCAATTTACAGGCATCACTAAACAAGTAACGACAAAAGGAAGGGTGGGCACAGTAGTTCCCCCACTTTACAACAGGTTTTCACTGTGAATATACAATCCTGTTGTTATAGTTAATGCTTCTCATCCTATTGTATTACCTTCTATTTATAGAATCTGCCTAATAATGGTACTGCTAAAATGATGGGCAAAAGTTACAGATGATAATATGATTTATTCAAAATGATTGCTGGAAAAGAAAATTAAATCTACTTGTAAATTAAAAAAAAAAAAAAAAAAAACCAAAGGCAGAAGACTGTAAATTACAGAAAAGAATATGCAGTACTTAGATTACAACCTGTATGTCTTCTATAATCACGGTAGCCCAAGACTGTTTTCAAGGGCTAAAGCCTACCAGGTCATTTTAACAAAAAGCCAATTCCTTTTGTCCTATTAGCCTGCATATAAGGAAGAAGAGAATTATCTTTAGAGAAAAATACAGAAAACTTCTCTTCCCATGCAGAATCATACTCTGTAATTCACTTTTCAAAGTGAATTTAAAAATGTTTTACCTTGCAACCCAGTATACACACATATATATGCTGCATAATTGAAACATTTCATGAAATAATATTTGCCTTTACCACATGAATGTACTCTTGTATTTTCTATTTACTATTTCATTTTTTAAGTGGTACGACTTATTAAATTGGTTTTACTTCCAATGTAGGGGTAGCAATTAACAAATTGAAAACCAATGCTCTAGTTATAGAAAATGCTGAGCTTAAGAAAAAATAAAGATCATATCTCATTACCAAAAAGAAATCTCTGTATTATAGAAAAAGATCTCTTAAGTTCCAGTCAATGCCCCCACTTACTTCAAGGAATATTCATTCCTCTACTAATATTCAATGTATTCTGGGTTCATAGAAACCCAGAGAATGGAATTCTTTTGCAGTAGAAGTGTTTTTTAAAGAAAAATAATAATATTCTTGATATACAGCTCCTATTTGTCTCCCATACAACCAAATATTGTTAGACTACCGTTTAATTTTTAAGCAAGATTTTCTTGCTTGTTTATGACGCTTTCTCCTGTTTCAGATCCAAACCCTCAGACTTTCTTAATTACCTTGCCTTCAACCAAACAGAAAGCTTACTTCAGAATTTGCAAACTGCTGGCATTCTAGGTGTGGTCGAGAGTGGTTTTGTTTGGCCCAGAAATTTCTGACGTAAAAACCCAAATTACCAGCTTCTTTTCAGAAATAGGAAGAACCAGCAAACTGGGCAGACAACCCTCCATGACAGTCATCTACTGAAGATGAGCAAGGGTTGCCCCACTTAGACAGGATTTGTAATCTCCAATTCTCATCCCCCATGCTAGATTATCCTAGCCTGGCTCTGGAAGATTTGCATCTGAGACTATTTGATTTAGTCATTTATACTTCTACATTGGCTAATTGATTCTGACTCTCAATGAAGTATAACTTTCCACATATTAGCATTTTAATTCTCCTGACACTAAGAGATCGTCAACAAAAGAGGTAGAAAAGTTAGTGAGATGCAAGTTCCCCCAAAATAACAGAAAGCCTGTCAAGCTTGTTATAAAAATTACCCTTAATACTTTTAAAATGGCTTCATAGTAGAATGATAATCCAATTTTAATCAGATCTTTTTTGTACACTTGAAGAATGTACGCATTAACACAGTGCCCATAGGAGACACGCAATAAATGCATAAGCATTGAAGTGTTTTAATAAACCCTATCAAATAATATGGTCAGTCTTATAGTCTTTGTACATATATTTCTGAGTTATTAACAGCGAGTCCAGAGGCATAATTTTTTTAAAAAGGTACTTTCCATTCTGGAACCATATAAAACTTACAATCCATTATTGTTAAATTACCATAACCATTAAAAGTATGGGGAAAAGGCTGGGCATGGTGGCTCAAGCCTATAATCCCAGCACTTTGGGAGGCCAAGGCAGGTGGATCACTTAAGGTCAAGAGTTCAAAACCAGCCTGGCCAACACGGCAAAACCCTGTCTCTACTAAAAATACAAAATTAGCAGGGCGTGGTGGCGCATTCCTGTAATCTCAGCTACTTGGGAGGCTGAGGCAGGAGTCACCTGAGCCTGGGATGCAGAGATTGTACTGAGCTGAGATTGCACCACTGCACTTCAGCCCAGGTGACAGAGTGAGACTCTGTCCAAAAAAAAAAAAAAAAAAAAAAAAGTATGGGAAAAGGAAATATACATATTTCCTACCAAACTCTATACTGTCAAAGAACTCTCCACTTAGGAACTTTATGAAATTAAAAGGACAGTTTTATGTGAATGGTTAAAAGATTTAGAATAAAATGTACTTCAAGTTTCTTGCTGGCAGTCCTAATTTTGCCATTATGCCCAACCTTTTCTATGAAAGAAGATGACAGCCAAACTCTGAGGCACACACTTTTACTGCAAATGACCTTTCTGCTAATACATGCTCAAGCTATGCATAAACACACCAGCAGAGGGACTCCATACACCCTCTAAATAAGTAAAATAGAGCTGACTTCCTCTGTCAGAAGAGGACTATATCCAGATTACAATAATTCAAGGAAACAAAATATTGAAATTGTCAAATACACCATCCTTCACTTTCTCACTGTTCCTCATTGGCCTTTTTCCCTTACACTAGGCTCATTCTTTCTTAGGTTTCTTACCGTAGCTCTTCTAGGGTTTGTTGAACTTCTCTCAAGGAATCAGCATCAAGGTTATTAATGAGCTCTTTTCGATAACGTATAATGAAGGGAATTGTGTTATCATCATTAAATAGACGAATGGTGTTGGCACAGACCCAAGGTTCAACATTAGTTCTTTCAGATAAAACCTGCAAATTAAAGATACTTAGTGATTTAAAATGCTGAAAATTAAACATCTATATCATGTATAATTTAAAACATAGTATCAAATAATGTTCTCCAGTGACTTAGAAATTATTTGCTATAGTTTTTCTTAAAAAAGAAAGCCATATAAAATACTTGTATCCATTGACAATCATAATGGTAAAATAGTCATTTCACAAATTCAATAAAATCTAATCCAGACCACTGTATCATTCAAATTCCAGTGTTCAACGAGGGCACTTTTTAATGATGCAATGATACACTTTTCATCTCTCATACTGGTAGCAAAGCAAGGAGTTGGTAACTCACTTTGTCAGCATGAGAACAAAGGAAAGCCATTTTTAGTCATTGTTAGTAAGCAATTAGGCAATATCTATGAAAATTTACAATGCATAAATAAACTCTTTGGCCCAGCAGCAATTCTACTACTGGGAATTTATCACAACATATACATGCTTCTAGAAAATAATATTATTTATAATAATTGTTTTTGAAGAATTGTTCCTAGCAGAGTAAAAATAAGCAAAAACCTAAGTTTACAATGGGAGAACTGGAAAATAAGTTATGCCCATACTAAACACCATGCAACCATTTAAGAACCTGAGGCAGCTCTGTATGAACTAATATGATATGATTCACAAGATCTGGAAATAGAAAGGTAATTGGTTGGGTGAGGGTTAGAGTTGGAAGACCGTTCTATATCTTTTGAATTTTGTATCATGCACAAAATACAACATCTTCAAACTAATTAATTACTTTTTAAAATTTTTTTTTATTTTTTTGTGACAGTGTCTCACTCTTTCGCCCAGGCTGGAGTGCAGTGGCACAATCGTGATTCAACGCAACCTTGAACTCGTAGGCTCAAGTGATCCTCCAGCCTCAGCCTCCAAATAGCTGGGACTACAGGCCACGCCATTACACCTGGCTAATTTTTTTTTTTTTTTTTTAGTAGAGATGAGGTCTTATGATGTTGCCCAAGCTGGTCTCCAATACCTGGGCTCAAGCAATCCTCCCATCTCAGCCTCCCAAAATGTTGAGATTACTGACATGAACCACCACATCAGGCAATTAATTATTTTTTTAAATATTTGTTTTAAAATATTATTTATTTAAAATCATAGGCATTTTAAATATTTATTTTAAAATATTATAAATAATTAAATACTTAAAATTATTATTTTAAACACATATTAAAATTGATGTTAATTATATTGAAATACTAATTATTTACAATATTAAAAGATGATTTATTATTTAAATATTTAATTATTTTTAAGTCTATGGGTTTTAGCAAAATGTACAGTTAAGCAGAAAAGTTTACAAAAGTCAGTCTGGAAAAGAGAAAGAACAAAATCCAATGTTAGTAGCTTCCAAAAACCTAAGCAACTCTTCCAAAGTAAAGAACAAAAGGAGTATGTTGTATTATTATTTCAACCCTGAATGCCCAAGATCTGACAGAAACTGTGGTAAAAAACAGGGAAAATTTATTAAAGAATTATCATAATCAACTGATTACCAAAATCAAGTCCAGATACATAACAGACTGAATTTCAAGACTACATATGAAATAAATGGCTAAACTCCAGAGACTATAGAGGATATCTCATTCATGGGGCATCTTAAATCCTAAGGTCTACATCTTATCACCCATTATCCTGGATTAATGCTAATTTCGATAAGAACGCCAATTTCACATTTCTATCCCTGACTCTCTTCCACATTAGCTCCAGACTCATTTAGCTACCTATTTTGACATATTCTCTTGGAAATCTAATGGGCATCTCAAACCTTGCATTTCCAAAATTATCTTCTTCTCAAACTTATTTCTCCTCTGGTTTTACCCATATTATGCTATTTAAATGGCAATTCAACCCAGAAAACTAAGAGTCTAACTCTTCTAACTCCTTCAACTCTTAAATCCAATCCATCTTAAGAACCAGTCAACTTGAACTGCAAAATATTTCCTTACTCTATCACTGTTCTTCATTTCTTCTGCCCCAAACCCCAGTCTAGTTCTAGCCTGAACTAATGAAACAGCTTTTACCTGTTCTCCCTGCATCCAATTCTAAGTCTCATCTATTCCAGTATACACAAAGCAACAAGAATGTTATTTTCAAAATGTATACTGGATGTAGATCTGTCACTGATTTCCCATTGCATTTGGAATCCAAACTCCCTACCATGACCCAAAATACATCAGCCTCTCTCCAACCTCATCTTATCCAGTCTTTCCCCAGATCATTAGATGCCAGCCCAATAGCCTTCTCTCAGTTCCTAGAACAAGCCCAGTTACTTTGCTCTTAAGAGGCCTTCAGGAGGCTCCTCCCTCTTTAGAAATGCTCCCGTTACTTGTTATCTTGCCTGACCCTCACAAAATCAACTCATTTATATTTTCTCCCTCAAACCTGTACCTTTTCCTGTTTCCTATTCCAGTCCACATCATGTCATCTACCACAGAAACCTTAGGGGATACTGTGGTTATCTCCCATAATACTGTGGCCACCTCTCTCCATTATATAGCAGCTATGTGGCTTGACAGCACTTGACCCTAACTCCAGCTCCACAGCACGTGGCTCAAGTAACCAGCTGTTTTCAGAATTAACAGCCTGAGTGCTGCATTGCCCTGGCCAGAGAGATTAGCCCAATCAGCATGAAGTTTAAGATTTGGGCTGGAACTCTGGACCCAGGTACAATTTCTTCCTCTGAAGAAATAGTTTGTAGAGGTAGAAATTCAAAGTTGTAGCCATTTTATTGTTATGAGGATGGTGGTGCTAAGAGAATAGTAGATTGTTTCAGTGAACTGACCGAAATTTTCCTGTTACGTAGATCAATAAATCTCCTTTATTGCTTAAACTAGTTTGAGATAGTTTTCTCTTATTGTAATCAAAAGCATTCTAATCAATGGCCTAAGCATCACTGTATATTCTCTATCACATCCCTCTACTCTGTCACTAAGGAGGCAAACAGAACTTCTAAAATGTCTGTTCCCTCCCCCATCAAGCTCTGTTTCCACTAATAGCATCTTTTATCTGAACTCATAGTAGGTTTTTATTGTTGTCTATGCCTCCCACCCATCCCATCTGCATTACTACAGATTATATTTCTAAAATACAAATGTAATCAAGTCCCTTATTTTTTTTCTTTTGTTTGAACTTAAGCTCCAACGACTCTTAGCTACCTACAGGTAAAGGTCGAACCACTTCCCTCTTGAGAGGCCTTCATGAGGCTGCCCATGAAGAAGTTAGCAATCTAGAAGGGAAGATAAAATATTAATGCAAATAAGTAAAAATAAAACAGCATGTGCCAGGCAATAAGTGGTACCATGTTTTTAAAGAAGAGAAAAGATCTCCCTGAGGTAATCAAGGGAGGCCTGCTGCAGGAATAGCATTTTGGTTGACCCTTGAAAGATAGGCAAGATTCTGAAAGACAGAGATGACAGGTGGAAACGACAGGAATGCTCATCATTTTGGAACTGTGTGATTGTTAGAGCAATCCATGGGCTCCCACTACCCATCAGCGCATCTACTGTTGAATAAAATAAACCTAAGACAGCTAAGACTCCAGACCCTGAATGGTAATAGGTCCTAACAAATCCATATGGCATCATGTATGTTATGGGAGTGTACAGTGCTGCTTATGCAAATTCGATCCTTGAAATTAAGGCTAACAAAACCACATACAAGCAGTCTTCATTTTGGGGACTCCAAATCACCGAATGTTTTCTATATTGATTCAGTTGAACATTTATTTTAGCTCATATTATATGCCAATAACCATACTAAGCCAATGATAATCAAGATGTAAAAAAATCAAGTCCCTCTTCTCAAGGAGCTAACAAGCTAACAAAAGCAGATAGACATGTAAATAGTTGACATACCGTATGGTTCATACTCTGACAGAAGTCTTTATACATTGTTTTAAGACCACAGGAAAGGTGGAAACATCGAACTCTGCAGCAATGGAAAAGCAACAAGAGAATGAAGGTATTTCCAGGCAGCTAAATGGGGAGGCAGGAATTCCAGGAACAGAGAATAACACCAAAAGCCTCTGATGAGAAACCACTGCACATTTTTTAAATTGCTAAAAGTTCAGTAATGCTGAAATGTATAAAACTGCCTTTGCAAAAATCATAACTGAGAAAATTATTACAGTGAAAGAGATCCGACCTAACGAACTCCATCTTGTTCCTAACCTCCAAGCTGTTCTTGTCCATTCCTAGGTGTAGGCTGAACTAACTTTGGGAGGAACTTAGTTTATAGTTTAGCTTTGAAACAAAGACAATAAAAGCATTTTTGCAAAACAAACCCCCTTCCTGCCTAGGGACTAGACTACCTTTGCAGGACTAACAAATTAGCCACAAGAGTAGAAATTATGGTTCAGGAGTTGATAATGGTTTGGATCGGTGTCCCCACCCAAATCTCACCTTGAATTGTAATCCCCACAATCCCCATGTGTCAAGGGCAGAACCAGGTGGAGGTAATTGAACCATGGGGGTGGTTCCCCCATGCTGTTCTCGTGATAATGAGTGAGACTTACAAGATACAATGGCTTTCTAAGTGTTTGACACTTCCTCTACTTGCACTTCTTTTCCCTGCCACCACATGAAGGATGTTTGCTTCCCCTTCCGCCACGATTATAAGTCTCCTGAGGTCTCCCCAGCCATGCTGAACTGTAAGTCAATTAAACCTCTTCCATGGCCAGGTGCGGTGGCTCACGCCTGTAATCCCAGCACTTTGGGAGGTCAAGGCAGGCAGATCCATGAGGTCAGGAGTTCGAGACCGGCCTGACCAATATGATGAAACCCCATCTCTACTAAAAATATAAAAATTAGCTGGGCATGATGGCATATGCCTGTAATCCCAGCTACTCGGGAGGCTGAGACAGGAGAATCACTTGAACCAGGGAGGCAGAGGTTGCAGTGAACCGAGATCGCGCCACTGCACTCCAGCCTGGGCAACAGGAGTGAAACCCTCAAAAAAAAACC